TAAGTACAAGAAAGGGGGGCTAGACCTTACCTTACCAACCCTAATGAAGTAACTAACCTCTACTAACTATTAAACATGAAGAAAATAAGAGCTAGAGAAAACTAGGTATTTTTGTGATCAACATAGAGTTTGTAATACACTCTATGATGATATTACAAATAAGGATGCTTAAATAATGTAAAAATATGACAACCAAGAAGAAGGTTGAGTTATCAACCTCAAACTTTCTTTTACAAATGCATGAATTAAAAAAGATTGATTGCCCATCAAAAGTAGCTCAAAGTATTTTCCTCTTGTCTTCTTCTTCAAACCTATTCAACAACACTTGATAATTTATCACTTCTTTTTTGGATTTATTGGATAATGTTAATCCTACATGGTACAACCATATGATTCTACTTTGCCAGTCGCTTCGATAGGTGTCTTGGAACAAACTCTCCAGTCACTTTATCGTCTCAACTATGTTGCCTTCCATGTGTCTTTTTTTTGTTTTTGTTGCTTCTACTTCTTTGTTGCCAAGGTAATATATCCCCTTTCCTTCCAAATCTATCAAAACATATGTCCAGCAGATTGTCTTCCTCATCTTCATCAAAAAAATCCTCGCTCAAATCAATTGTATGAGCATTTGTTGGACTAAATCTTGACAAGGCCCTTGGCTCATTCTTCTTTGCAATCACCCTTTTAGACAAAAATACGGAAGCTTCTTGGCTTAATTTTCTATTCAAAGCATGTGGTGAAACCTGCTATTCTTTTACCAAACCATTGTCATTCTCTATTGACATTACTACTTGTCCGGCTTCACCAAACGACTCCAAAGTTTGGTAAGTGACCCTATGATACGAGGTGTTCAATGTGACCATGAGTGGCTTGATCGTTGGATTGTATTTTGAGTAGCATGGCATCCTATTCTTCTTGAATAATCTTAGCTACTTCATGCGTAGAAATATATAATGACGGAGTCATAATATTACAATCTTTTCTAGCAGCCTTCAACAAAAACATCAAAGTTATTCGAACATAATAGGTCTCTTGATGCATTATTAATATCTTGCCTCTTCTCACTGTCCTGAAAATTTTGAGTCACACCCTTTCCCTACCTGGAGAATTATTTTGACTAGTTGAGTAAAGGGACCAACCACTAGTTGAATTTTTGTGTGCAACCAAAATTCAATTTTTAGTTGCATTTTCGTTTTCAACTAGTAAAACATGCTGCCCAGAATTTTCAGCATCTTCAACATCAACCGTATCAATTAGTTTTTATCTTGAATCAACTCCTGATGCATCAACCCCAACACTTGGTGTTTTCCCTGCTTTTTTGGTTGCATTAGACATCAAATTCAACCCAAATTCTCTTGATTGCACCTCATTAGTATCAGCCTGCTGCTTATTGCTTTGATGACTACTATTACTTGTATCAATATTGTTTGTTCGGTTTTACTCAGAAGTGGCAACAACCAATTGTCAATCTAAAGCAGTAGCTCTACTTTGATCGATACCTACAACCCTTCTTTTTTCATTTAATATTTCAATTGCATCACCTTGATATTTTTCAATATCGTCGCTAGTATCTTTCAAAGCAACTTCAATGGTATTATCGATTTGTTTGTTGTTTTGATTTCTTTTCAAGATCAAACGACAATTACCTTCATCATGACCTTGGTGCTTACAATAATTGGAGTATAAATGCAGATTATCATATACAATCTCCTTAAGAACCTCGATTAATTAACCATATTTTCCGTCCACAAACTGAACCTTATACGATTCAAAATAATTTCCATTACAACAAGTATAACCTCGACCCTAGCTATGTTAGATATGGACTTGATTTGAGTAGCTTTGTCAATATCTATTAGTTTCACAACTGCCGATGCTTTAGACATCAATGACTTCTTTGACAATAAATCGGGAAATAAATTAGGTAAAGAAATTCATACCACAATTAAAGTCATTTCCTTCTAAGGATTATATCCAACAATGGACAATTTATTTCCAAGTAAAATGTATGTTCCAACATAAATTCTAATTTCAAAATATGACAACTTCATAAATTCAAATTTTCAAACTTCAACTTTAAAATTTATAGCCAAACGGGAATATCATGCATGATACTTTGCAGTTCTCATGATGCTATATATGGATTTAGATAGACTTTGTTGGTTTGAATGTCCAAACACGTTTACTTTGAATTATGAGTGTGCGCTGATCTTCAATGAACTCATTTAAGGATAATTTCCAAGAACTATATAACTGTTCCTTAATGGAAATCTTACGGAAAATATTTCATCATGATACCTATAGAAAATTCCTTACAGTTGACATTGTCGTTAAGAATATTTCACTTGATATAGGTATATCTTCTTGGATTCAACAAACTCTTCTAGTATAAATGAGGAGTTAAAAAGTTAATTAGAAAGAAATCCAACACATTAATAGAATATATATTTATCTTCATCTTCACCCTTGGAAAAAACAACAAGAATCTATGTACATAATAAAGCTAGATATAGATAAGGTGATGTGACACCTCTCTATGGTCTAGAAAATTATTTATCTTTTATATCCTTTTAAAAAAAATTTACTTCATTATTTTCATTAATCAATCAATTAATTTTTTTACATCTAATTAAATTTCACGAGTTATATGAAACCTCCATCTTTTTGTATTCTTCACTTAAATAATGTCTCCTTAATTCCCTTCTATCTAATTCTTGTATCAATCTATAAATAACAATTATGTATGGAGTTGTTGGATGCTTATTTTCATTTTCTCCTTTTTTATTATTATCCTTTTTCCTTTATTTTTTTTTCAACGCTAATGTATTTCATAATCAAAAGAAAGGACATAAAAAAGGTGATGTGGAATTATGACCACAACTTTGATCAGTGGTGAGTTTGAAATGAGCATTATGGGCAAACACATTTTTTTCCTTGGACTTCAAATCAAACAAACACCTATTGATTTCCAAGGGGGCAGTGTAGCTTTTCTAAATGGGAAGAAAGGTGAAATTACTAGAATAGGTGAGGCGGAAATTTTCTCTGGCTTCGGAGACAACGAAATCTGAATGCCACCTTTTGACATATAAAAAGTATTCATTGATGAATCAAGGCCCTTGTTGTAGAATTCGCTGCAAGTTTTCCTCTTATAAAACTTTGTTATATAATATTTGTGATCTAATTAGTTACGATGTGCCAATCCCTTGCTTCTTGCTCCAACTTAGGAGTAGACTGGCCAGGGTTTTTAGAGTTCCAGTTTTCTCTTAAGTTGGGCAATTTGATGGTCTTTTTCAGTCACTCTCCACAACATAATCAATGTCTCTTTTAGATAGGTGTGGCTGATTCTTTCGCCCATTTTGATGGAATATGTCCATGGTCTATAGATTCTTCTTTTTTCTTCATTGGATAATAATTAATTAATATGTGGTCACCTTCTTCATCCTCTTGTGGTAGTTTCTTATCTCTTTGTTGTTCATCCTTATTAAGGCTTGAGTGCTACTCATCCATCTTGAAGGGGATAGGGAGAAATTAGTATGTTTTGAAAGACTTCTTTTCTCTTATGGTCCCTCTGTCCTGGCTTAATTCTAATCCTCCTTTATCTGGTGGGGCTAGTGGATTTAGGTCTCGAGAAATGGGACGTGATAACTATTTTAGGACGAAGGTGATATTAAAGTAAGTGATAAGTAGATTTTCTATCTCTCTTCTTCCATCGTGACTTATAACTATTCACAAAGTTGCAAAATGGTAATTCATTTGCTAGTAAATAATTGACAACTAGAAAAAAAGATAGTAAAATATATAAGCCAAAACCAACCAAGAGTAACGTTCCATAATGTTTACAAAATAAAATGCTTACTAGAGCACTTGATGAATACAGATACTTGCAGTTATAAGAAAGACAAATACATGCAGTCAATCTTTTTAAAGCAAACAAATATAACATCTGTCTAGCATCTTCCTAAGACAAACTAAAATAGCCAGAATGCAATCCAAAGAAATTGTAGCTAATTTATTGCAAGGAAAGGGGTGTTGGGATCTTTTGAACCTGCAAAACATTTGCAATATGGCCCCGAATCAACTTGAAGCGACAAGTTTCACCATTAGCTATCTTGTTATCTTTTCGAAATGCAGTCCATCCTCCTTTTATGATAACCATACTCCTATTATACTCTATTTCCACTCCCCATTCTACTCCTTCTTCATTAACCAACCTCATATTCTTCATGTTGATTATGTCTGTACTTTGGGCGAATCTCATGGGGATAGTCTAATAAACATATATCAAACAAACATGATCATCATTAGATTTTCAGGAAAAATAATTAGTATGTAAAGGAATGCAAAATCTAGCAAATCTGAAAACACAATGTACAAACTATTAAACCTTACCATACAAGTAGCGTGCGTCTTTTTTATAACCATTTCAAAATACGGATTGTCACCATTTAAGTTCACGAAGCTGTATCGACTGCTATTCTTTGGACCAACTTCTTCACTTCTACTATTAGCTTCTCCAACCTCTTGATCTGCAGCAACTTGATATAAGTATAACAACTACTACGATATTATTTCTACTGAAATGTTATGGAATATTTAAGACCACAAGTTTTAAAAGTTTTATGGCCACATATATAAATGTCATGACATGTTTATAATCACTAATTTAAACAGTGAGCTTCATTTTCATTTTAAAACTATATGCGTCTATTCAATTTTTATGACATAAATTGAAACATTGGAGTTGCTACTTGTTTTTAGGACAGATTAAGGATCTTACTTATAAGTTATACTCGTGTTTGATATACAAGTCTCTAACTACATTGAAGACAATCTCTTAATAGTTTAAAAAGTCTAAAAATCTTTTGAATTTACCGGTACCAATGTTGGGTTGTTACGTTGGTCGTGCTCCTCATAGCCTTCACTTATTTCTTGAAATAGATATCCACATGCAATGTAATACTACTAATGGATTCACTTAATAGCTAATAAAGCAGTTAATATGATTACTTACCTTGCTCAATTACATTAGCATTAGTTTGAAGGTTAATTGGAAGATCTTCCTCTTCTTCCTCGATAACATTAGCATTAGTTTGAAGGTTAACTGGAATATCTTCCTCTTCTTCCTCGATTACATTAGCATTAGCTTGGAGGACTGGAATATCTTCCTCTTCTTCATCTGATTCAATCTCTTGATCTATTGGATATTCAATTTCTGTTGTACTCTGATCATATATAGCGACATCAAAGTGAGAACGCGGGTTGTATGTGAAGATTAATAAGCTCCTGACGGTTATTGAGTAATAGCCACAGAAATCTTTCCATCCTTTGGCTAGCCAAATTTGGCCTTGAGAATTTTCCACTTCAACCTCCCATGCTTTTCCATGGGGAGCCTCAAGAAACACGGGGTTTAACATGTTCTTGCAATGTCTTTTGGCAAATACTACTGGAATCCTCTGTGTGCAAAAGAAATTTGAATTCAATTTCATACAGACAGAAGCAGACATAAATAATTAGTTTACCATATATCTTGGACTGAACACACAGAAGCAGACCTATGTGACTAATTACTTTTACAGGTACAAGCTACCTCCTATTAACACATCCTTATATTTGGTTTATCAAATGTTGAATCCTCCAAATGTCTATCCTTGGGCGTGAAAGGAATGTTTTTTTTATCGAGGGATGAAATTGCCTTCTTACATGATTGTTTTGAGAAATTCTCATTGAATTAGACCCATATAAAAGTATAGTGATTGTTGGATCTAAATCAACAGTTAACAAGGACTGAAAATACAGTTGCACTAAAAAAAATTTGGGAATCTGTGACAAAAATCAAGATTTGGAAGATGAAGAAAGTACTTACGAGACGGCATAACTCATCTGAGGAAGTAATGATTTGGATGAACTTAGGGTTGTTGGGAGAAGAGTTCCTACAGGAAGAGCCACGGAACTTGTTTACCATGACGGCAGGTGAGCAATGGATGGGAAATCTGAGTGTTGAGGAATGCTTTTTATAGGACTTTGATGCACGAATTACGAGGACAATGCAATGTGTCTCATGAGGACTGTATTATATTTGCTCACGTGATGTGTGTGACTGATTCACGAGGACTGTATTATATCTGACTTTACTAAGGGGGGCTAGGCCTTATCTTATTAATTCTAATGAGACAACAATATCTGACTCACGTGATGCGTGTGACTGACTCACGAGGACTGTGTAATGTACAAGGCAAAAGAAAAATACATGAATAGTGTTTGACCAGATTTTCAATCAGATTATGAAAATCTGTCTTTAAAATTTTTCAAGTTTCAACCCTGTTTTTTTGGCAAAGTTTCAATTTCACTCACAAAAGTTTGATTTTTTAAAGTAAAATACATATCGAAACACAACTTCATATTTCAAAAATTATAATTGTGTACGCTTTGTCCCGAAAAATGTGATAAAAAAGAAGAAAATGTATGAGATAAGGCCTTTGCTGGTTTGGCTCCCTCTTATACTGGTCTACACTCCCCTTGGCCCTTGTGAGCTGGTCTTTCTTTTGCCTAGCTTTGTCCCGAACCAAGGAGGCACTAAGAAAAAGTACGTAATGGATACGCCTTCCAATTCTCATGTCTTAAGAACGAGAGATTTCTTCCGTTTCATCGATTTTTTCCGGATCCCACGATAAGGTGTTACAACTAATACAATTACCATATTAAGTTTCAATTGCAATAATAGTGACAAAAGGTATAAAACAATCAAATTAAAACGCTTACTAAAAGAAATACAGAATTATCAATCTAGTAGTACAACACTACCATTATTCTTGCGCAGCTAATCAGGCCTTTCATCAGCTAAAACAAGAAAGAGAGGCATTTGAGAAAGTGCAACATTTTCTTGCGTAAATTAGTTTTGATGACAATAGTTTTTGGGGTTTTAATTAAGCAAGGCTCGATGCTGTTATATCCAATTGATTTGGTTTTCTCGAAATCAACTAGTCGACTTGAAATTATATATTCATTTTGTGATCCACATGACTTAGACAAGAATCCTATATTTTACCCACCTAGTGATGTTTTGATTGAATTTCGAAGATCGTGATACCAATTAAGATTATTCTTTGACATCTATCTTATATAATGACTAGAATAGAACATGCTCAACTCTTTCTAAAATAAAGATCCATATATACATTGTTTCCTTCCCTTTTAAAAGGAAGGAACTAGCACAAAGTACCTGAACAAAATATACATTGAACAGAAGTTTTGGTCCATTCAAACACAAACTCCTTTAGATTGAAGTACCATGTCACTATGTCTAGTGGAAAAAAATTCCGAGCTACTGACGGCGTTATATAGTCTGTTAATTTAAAGGATGCATTATCATATAGAACTAAAGATTCATAACGTAATAATTTGAGTTGGAAAAAAAAACAATAGAGAAATTATGGCTTTGAAGCGTGAAAAATCACTTTCTTTCAAGAGTCATAGGGATTACAAGAAATTCTTTATCAGAATACAACAAAGCCTGAAACCTATTTGCAATTGAATACGCTGATAGAGTGGGTAAAAGTCTCACATTGATTGGGGAGTGGACCGGTGATGGTCTCCTTATATGAACTATGAAATCCTTCCTTCATGAGCTAGTTTTTGGGGTTGAGTTAGGTCTAGGTGTCATATCTTTACATGGTATCAGAGTTAGGTCCATCATCGTTTGGGCTCTTGGTTTGCGCGTCAGTTGGGCTTGGACGTAAAGGGGGGGGGGGGGGGTGTTAGAGTGGGTAAAAGTTCCACATTGGTTGAAGAATGGACTAGTGGTCTCCTTATATGGATTTGGGCAATCCTCCCCTCATGAACTAACTTTTGGGGTTGAGTTAGACCCAAGTAGTGTCATATCTCTTACATACACCACATCCGGAAATTCATCGTATTTATAGAAGCAGTCAAGGAGACCTTTTCGAAAAAAATCTCATTTTCTGAATAGATACAATCTTTTTGTTCAATTAAATTTTTTAATATTAATTCAAATTTTAAATAAATAAATTGGTTAATAAATTAAAATCTTTTATTTAAGATTTAAGATCACAAATTTTAAAAGACTTGTTGCTATATAAATATTATGACATTCTTGTTTATAATCACTTATTTCAACAATGATCTTTGATATTTCTAATAATTATGCGAGTCAAATTTTATCACATGAATTGAAACAAGAGAGTTATTACTTGTATTACTACTAAATTCTAACGAAACGAGATGACAGATTTCATTATGTTTATAGCTAATAAATCAGATAAGATGTTTTACTCTTCTAACTCTATTACATTAGGTTGAAAGCCAACTGGAATATCATCATCTGCTTGCCCTCCTTACATGAGTAGTGTTTTTTTTTTATGGCTTAAAGGCGCCTTTGACAATAAAGGAATGAGGACAGAGGCACGACTACATACTTGGCACTTGGCAATGGACACAATATTTTTATTTCATTCATTCTCCATTCCGTCTACTCTGGGAACCCATAATCTGACGCCTATTCATTCTAAAAAGGTTGGAATAAAATTCGACCTATTTTAAATTGTCCCACATTGATTGAAAGAATAAGGTGTAGATCTTGCACATTTTGTGCCTCATTATCTAGCCTCAACCAATGAAAGGTCAAAGATTCAATTTTTACAGGGTAACAAAGAGAGACATGACATTTTTGTATATATCCAACTTGTGAGAACCTCGATTAATTCACGCTCAAAATTTTGTCTAGCCTTGGTCGTGAAAAGGAATATTTTTGTCAAGGGAATGAAATTTAATTTGTCTTCTTACATTGGATTTTGAGAAATTTTAATTGATTTAGATTACTAATCGTTTGATTTAAATCCACAATTAACAAGGAGGGAAAGTAGAGTTGCACTAACATAGAGTTGGGAATCAGTCGGTGAATTCAAGATTAAAAAGAGAAATTAAACAAAGAAGATGGGATTAAAGCACTTACGAGACACCAATATACAACTACACCATGTTTAGGCACAAAAATAAAGTTTTTATTGGAAAAACTAATTATGTGGTCATGATTCACGAGACAAAAGAGGTAGACCTAAGATTTTGCCCTAATAAATTCAATGAAGAAATGAAATTTACTATTTGACCATAAACTTTGGATTAAATTTTGAAAATCTATCTTTGAAAAATTTTCAAGTTTCAAAATTTGGTTCTTTTTGAGAGAATTTTCACTTTCACTCACAAAAATTCAATTTATTTCCAAGTAAAATGTATGTTCAAACATAAATTCAAATTTCAAAATATGATAACTTCATAAACTCAAATTTTCAAATTTCAACTTTAAAATTTATGCTCAAATTAACGGGAATATCATGCATGACACTATGTAGTTCTCGTGGTTCTATATGACATTTCGGTGGTTTGAATTTCCAAACACGTCTACTTTGAATTACGAGTGTGAGTCAATCTTAAATGACCTCATTTAAGGAAATACTTACAATTTGAGTTGTGTCGATGGCAATGTCCTTAAGAATATTTCACTTGATTTAGGTATATATTCTTAGATTTAACAAACTCTTCTATATAAAATATGAGTCAAAAGATTTAATTAGAAATAAATCCAACACATTTATAGAATATATGGGAGAAGAAATTTATCTTCATCTTCACCCTCATAAGGAGAAAAAACTACCCTAAATATATACATAATTATAAAGCTAGATATAGACAAGATGAGGTGACACATCTGTATGGTCTAGAAAATTATTACTATCTTTTATATTAAATCTTTTTGAATTTTTTACTTCATTATTGTCATTAATCAATTCGTTTGTTAATTAAAAAAAAAGATTACATCTAAATAAATCTCATGAGTTATATAAAACCTCCATACCTTTGTATTCTCAGTTAATTAACTACATGTCACCTTAACTCCCTTCTACCTAATTCTTGTATCAATCTATAAATAGCAATCATGTATGGAGTTGTTGGATGCTTATTTTCATTTTCTCCTTCTTTTTAATTAGTATCTTTTTCCTTTATTTTTTTTCAACGCTAATGTATATAGTAATCAAAAGAAAGGACATAAAAAAAAAGGTGATGTGGAAATATGACCATAACTTTGATGAGTATTGAGTTTGAAATGAGCATGATAAGAGAACACAATTTCTTCCTTGGACTACAAATCAAACAAACAACTACTGATTTCCAAGGGGGCAGTGTAGCCTTTCTAAATGAGAAGAAAGGTGAAATTGTTGAAATAGGTAAGGTTGAAATTTTCTCTGGCTTTGGAGGCAACAAAATTTGAATCCCACTTTTTGACATATAAAATGTATATGTTGATGAATCAAGGTCCTTATTGTAAAATTCGCCGCAAGTTTTCCTCTTTATAAAACTTTGTTATGTAACAGTCGTGAGCTAAATTGGTGAAGATGTGCCCAGTCCCTTGCTTCTTGCTCCAACTTAGGAGTAGACTCGCCAGGATTTTGAAAGTTCCAGTTTTCTCTAAGTGCGCAATTTGACGGTCTTTTTCAGTCACTCTCCGCAACATAATCAATGTCTCGTTTAGATAGTTGAGGTTATTATTTTTTGCCCATTTAATGAAATGTGTCCATGGTTTATAGATTCTTCTTTTTTCTTCATTGGATAATAATTAATAATATGTGGTCACTTTTTTCATCTTCTTGTGGTAGTTTCTAATCTTTTTGTTGTTCATCCTTATTAATTAAGGCTTGAGCGCTGCTCATCCATGAGAATATTTTTTACAATGGTTTGGGCCTTGTTAGGTGATTCCATCTTGAAGGAGATAGGGAGAAATTAGTATGTTTTGAAAGACTTCTTTTTCTCTTCTGGTCCCAGTCCTGGCTTTATTCTAATCCTCATTTATCTAGTGGGGATAGTGGATTTAGGTCTCGAGAAACAGAACGCGATAACTATTTTAGGACGAAGGCGTTATTAAAGTAAGTGATAAGGTAGATTTTCTCTCTCTTCTTCCATCATTACTTATAACTTTTCACAAAGCTGCAAAATAGTAATTCATTTGCTAGTAAATAATTGATGACTAGAAAAAAAGATTTTAAAATATATCAGCCAAAACCAACCAAGAGTAACGTTCCCTAATGTTTACAAAATAAAATGCTTACTAGAGCTAGTAGCACTTGATGAATACATATACTTGCAGTTATAAGAAAGACAATTTATGCAGAAATCTATCTGAAGCTAGGTACCCTAGCAAATGAAGTGCACGTTTGTCTGTCTTTTTAAAGCAAACAAATATAACATTTGCCTAACATCTTCCTAAGACAAACTAAACTCGCCAGAATGCAATCCAAAGAAAATGTAGCTAATTAATTGCAAGTAATGGGGTGTTGGGATCTTCTGAACCTGCAAAACATTTGCAATATATATGGCCCCGAATCAACTTGAAGCGACAAGTTTCATCATTAGCTATCTTGTTATCTTTTCGAAATGCAGTCCATCCTCCTTTTATGATAACCATACTCCTAGTATACTCTATTTCCACTCCCCATTCTACTCCTTCTTCATTAACCAGCCTCATATTCTTCATGTTGATTATGTTTGTACTTTGGGCGAATTTCAACGGGATAGGCTAATAAACATATTCATCAAACAAACATGA